GAGTGGCCAGACGGGGTCAGACCAAAGGTCCATCTAGCCCAGTGTCCTATGCCAGATGCTCCAGAGGGAATGAACAGAACAGGGAATCATCCAGTGATCCCTCCCCTGTCGCCCATTCCCAGCCTCTGACAGAGAAATGGACACCATTTCTACCCATCCTAGCTAATAGCCATTGATGGACCTAACCTCCAGGAATACATCCTCTGGCAAGGAGTTCCACAGGTTGACTGTGTGCTGCGTGAAGAAAAACTTCCTTTAGTTCGTTTTAAACCTGCTGCCTAAAACTCAATTTCCCCATGTGCAGAACAAGGATCATGATCATGTTTGTAAAAATCTTTGAGATTTTTGGAGAAAGAGGATGCAGATGTAATAAACATTAGTAGGGCATGTCATGTGTGTTAGTCCAAGATAAGACTTCCCGTTGGGCAGCTCGGTCAAACCAGATATGCCAGCTGATGTCAGAGGAAGGAAGTTAGTATGTTCTATGGATCATAATGAGAATTGATCCAGGAATTCTGAGATGAACCTTTTTGCATCGGAACCAAAACTTTTGCAGAATCACTCTCAGTTTTGAGGAAAATGTCACTGAGAAAAAGAGAGAGACTCTCTCTGGGACTGCCAATGCTCTGATGGCATCGTTCCAACTCACCACGATGCAAGTCGGCGACAGACCACCTTCCTTGTGGGTCACTATGCAGGGTGTGGACGCAGAGTGCAGGTGCAGCAGCTTTGAAAAATACGTGCAAGTCCTATTGTGTGCCCACAGTAGTGATGAGGCACAAACAGTATCTTACACATTCAAAGCTGGTGCCCACAAATGGAGCCTGGGCTGGGGCGACTGAGGAGTGGGGAACCCTTTTTTGGTTGGTGGCCACTGACCCACAGAAAAGTCAGTCGGGGGGCCACACACAAGTGAGAAGCAAAAAAAGAAAAAAACCAACCAAACCCTCACTGGTGTGGACCCCGACTGAGAAGGAGAAAGACCCTCCCCACATTCCCCTCCACACCAGAGCTTACGGGGTCCCAGGCTAGTAGATTTTGTGTGCGCCAGCCCTGTGTAGGGATAATGCAGGGCTGGAGCACCAGCGTGGGCTCTCCAATGTTGGGGGGTAGCCCTGAGCCTCGGGGGCCGGATCCAGCTGTGGCGGCGCGTTGGGGTTTTCCCGTCTCCTGCACCCCCGCAGTGGCACGGACAGACTCCACCAGCCAGTAGAACAGAGGGAGTTTATTGCTTCTCCAGGATACAGCACAGCACAGATGTAATCTCGTCACAGGAACTGGGGCTAGGAGGCCTCAGTGCCCCCCCTTGAGAAGGGGGGTGGCTGGGCCCTACAATCCCAGCCCCCTCCCTTGCCCCTTCTCCCCTGCTTCCCAGACAAACTAAAGACCGTCCCTTCCAGCCCCGCCCCCCAGCCAGGGGCTGCATTCCACCTTCCTTTGTTCCTCTCCCTGGGGGGTAACTGGTCGAACAGGTGACCTCCCTGTCCCATCAGCTACTCGGCTGGGCCGTGGTACAGACAGCAGCCAGCTGGGGTCACCCACAGCCCAAGCCTAGCAACCAGCAAGGTACCCCCACTACGTCACACCAGGCAAGTCAGGGGCTGCAGCCGGCCCCCGGGCCTTAGGTTCCCCACCCCTGCTTTAGAAGTTCAGCTCCATATGTTGCACACTGAGCAACACAGGCAAAGGCAGTAGTGAACCTTACCAGTCACTATGGCCCAGTTCCTCAAAGGTTTTGAGCCCCCTAACTCTCACTCAAATCAATGGGAGGTAGACACCTCGATAGCTCTGAGAGTCTGGGTGCCGGGCTCACTTTCCAGTGGTCTGAAGCACTGATGAAAATCAGTCAGCAGCAGACTCGAGCTTGAGCGAAAAGTTTTTAAAATGAGCAGAGCCCTGAAGAGTTAGCACTTCAGTGTTCCGCTACAGAAATAGAAAAAGATTCATTAAATGTGTGGAATCGCTTTAATAATCATTATCCGACTCAGCAATGACTTATGACTGGTGATTAGTCCTTTAAAATACTCAGACTATGTTGTACCCGAGCAGTCTAGAAACCGTGGCCAGGTAAGACTGGCTGGGAGCTGGCAGCCCCATGGGGCGGGAGTATCCCTATGCCCACAGTGGGCCATGGGCAGGGGCTGCTCCCAGGGAATGGTGAACCGGCTACCCGTTCACATCCCTATCTCACACTTCTGAAGATCATCATCTGCAGCTCAGAAGGTCCGCAAGTCTGGCCACCCCTTCTATACAGGGAGAAACTTTCTTGTATCCTCTGTAGCAGTGTCAAGTGCGCTATTCGGCTCTGGTGAGGCCACACCTGGAATACTGTGTCCAATTTGGGGCCCCTCCACTATAGAAAGGATGTGGACGCATTGGAGAGAGTCCAGCGGAGGGCAACCAAAATGATGAGGGGGCTGGAGCATATGACCTACGAGGAGAGACTGAGGGATTTGGGTTTGTTCAGTCTGCGGAAGAGAAGGGTGAAGGGGGATTTAATAGCAGCCTTCAATTTCCTGAGGGGAGGTTCCAAAGAGGATGGAGAGAGGCTGTTCTCAGTGATGATGGATGGCAGAACAAGGAGCAATGGGCTCAAGTTACAGCGGGAAAGGTCTAGGTTGGACATTAGGAAAAACTATTTCCCTAGGTGGGTGGGGAAGCGCTGGGCTGGGTTCCCTAGGGAGGGGGTGGAATCTCCATCCCTAGAGGTTTTTAAGTCTCGGCTTGACAAAGCCCTAGCTGGGTTGATTTAGTTGGGATTGGTGCTGCCTTGAGCAGGGGGCTGGACTTGGTGACCTCCTGAGGTCTCCTCCAGCTCTAGGATTCTATGAACATTAATCTTCAAGCACCCCAAGAGGGAGGTAAGTCTACTTGCTTATAAAGGAAGTCATTTCTAGAACGGGCTATGGATTCTGGGACCTGCCTTTTTGCGCACTCAACCATAGACACCCAGGACCTGAGTTTTGGAAGCAGGGCTCACTTTCCACTCCAGCTGGTGTCAAGAGGAGCTGCAAGTGCTCTGCATCTCTGAAACGCAGGCCCAAGTGAGTCATACAAAAGTAGAAGCTACCTGAAAATGAGTCTGCAAGGGTGCGTCTATACAGCAGGGCTAACGCCGAAATAAGCGATGCAACTTAAGCTATGTCAATTACGATGCTGAAGTCAAAGTAGCTCATTTCGGCTTTTGGCACTGTCTGCACAGCAGGAAGTCCAAGAAAGAGCCCTCTTCCTCCAACTTCCCTTACTCCTTGTACAATGACGTTACAGAACTCGGTGTAAGACGTCCTCCGACTCAACATGACTTAGACATTCTGTCGAAATAACGGCTTGTAGTGTAGAGGCGGACTATGTTATTTGGGAATAACATTAGTTATACCAAAATAATGCTGCTGTGTAGACATACCTGAAGTGATTTGCCCCATGTCATACAGGGAATCAATCAGAGCAATGAGTAGTTCTGTACATAAAGCAGAACACATCACCTCTGCCTTCACTCCAGAGGGGAAACTAGATTTTAATGGGCCACGGCTAGCCGGCCTCTCTCCCCAGTGTAAAAAAGCAGAAGAACCCCATATCTGTGATGTTTGCCATTTTTCACACAGTTAACACCCCTGCCCCGAACAATAGAGCCTTGTAGTGACCCTGGATTTTCTAAGCGAAGGTGCCTAACTCCCCCTGACTTTCAGTAGAGCGAGGTCCTTAACCTGCTCAGGTGCCTTTGTGCATCGTTAGGTGCCTAAATACACTTGCGGCTTCACTGGGATGACGTGCAGCAGCTGTTTTCGTTGAACAGGCAGGTTGGCAATCCTATACAATAATCAGACCACGCGGCCAACAGCCTCTCTCAGTCCTTTCATGCACACGTCTGTCTCCCTCTGCTTTTTGGGAGACCGTGAGCGTACTCAAAAGCAAGGAACTGATGGCACCAAGTGGCACCAAACCCCACAGCCTCTCCACACATCGTCTGTCAGTGCAATTCAGACTTATCCACTGATGCTCCTGCACTTCTGATTCAGCATCTCTAGAGGCTTAAAAATGACGCACAGTGCAGCGGATATTTTAATGCGATGTCCAAACCACCAGGGAGGAGGCCAAGACCACCACACTCATTTCACTTGGCACCTACAGCACACTGGAACTTCGATTTTTAGAAGCAGGGAGCTACGGTGTTGACACCAAAGTCTTACTAGCTTCCTTCAGATTAGGGTTGTAAGTGACTAATCAACTAGTCCCTCGAAAAGTCGCTTCTCCCCCCACATCCGGGGGAGGGGGGGAAGGGAGCTGGCTTAAAAGGGGGAAGCGGAGACAGAGGGGTGGTAGGAACTGGGCGAGAGCCGGGAATCAACTGATTCCTGGCTCATGGCCAGTCTCAGATGCTGCACCTCTGTTTTTTAAATGTATTAAGAGTCATATAACTAGTGTAGGGAGTCTCGTGTCCAGTGAGTCTCACCAGGGACCTAGACCTCGGAGGGTGCCCTGGATTCCCCCAGCTGGAGCCACGTCTACTGCGGCCTGGTGCGAGGTGACAGGAACAGGACTCCCTGCAGACTGAAGGGGTGTAAGCATTTCCAAGTGCCTGTTGCTCTCTTTTACGCATCGCTCTGCTTATGCTTATTGATCTGTCACTTTGCAGTAGCTGTGTAACCATCTGACAGTATTAAGCCTGTAATAGTAGTTATGTAGTAAGATTAATAAAAGCAACTATCCCTAATCCACTCTGTCTTGAAGCGAATCTACAACCCTGTTGGGCCCGGGCCCTGTGAGTTGACACAGTCTTCCCTCAAACAGGATGAGCGGCCCACACGGGTTATTCTCACTGAAACAGCGTGTTTCAGTCCTGTATTTTGTTTAGAATAAAAACATCCCAGCTGTTCACCGGGTGTTCAGGCAACAGTATAAATTGCAGAGACAGAAGCTACCTGTCTGCCTCGACAGCATTAAATCCATATGCAGGACTGTATCACACACAGAAGAGTATATAGACGTATGTCACTGCTTACCTACAGCAGGGAACGGCACGAACCTCTGGATCAAGAGACGGGTGGCTGGAGTAAACTTGTTTGCTCTCTGAACCAGAACATTAAGGCCCACCTGTAGATGGAGAAATGAAAGAAAATTAAGAGCATTTAGCATCAAACAGTGGTGCACATCCCCGGGCCTGCAGCAATTAAGGAGTAGAGCTCCTAACAGAGACAGAATGAAACTGAAAGGGGGAGAGACCTTTGCTTCGGAAATGATTCAGAAGTTGAATTCATTCAGGTAACCTTACTTGTAGCCCTTTCCAATGCTCCCATCCTCCTCCCATTGTCCCACAACGTCCAGCCCTCCACTGCCACTCACCCAAAAAAAGGCGGGATCCCTTACAGTGTTACTCTTCTGGGCTTCTTTGCATTGCCTGTAATGTGAAGTTTACATTTTCTATCCAGCTAACCTCACCCCTCTAGCAGAGTTTGGATTGAATAGTAGTTTAGCCATGTAGATGGCAGCATATACTTGTAATAGCAACAGATCCCAGATATCATCAGCTGGGATCAAACCTGGGACCTCTGGAGCTTAATGCATGAATCTCTCTACTACATTAGCTAGAAGACAACTTTTTTAGCAGAGGCTCATCAGCTGGTCTAGGTGCCGCATCACGCAGGCATTGGTTCAATAACTGTATCTTTTCCGCCCATTTCCTGAACGACACAAGAGGCACTGCATTTTTACTGCAATCCCTAAGTAGCAGCATTTATGTAACCCAAAGCAACAGTGTGGGTCTTTGCTCAGCTATTAAAGGGGAACAAAACCCTACAATCTATCTGTGTGGGTTACAGATTAAGGCTGCTCAAAATGTTTCCATCAAAATTTCCTCCCCCCACGACTCCGACAAAAAAATCGAGTTCTCATCTAAACACAATTTTATTGCAGAAAGCGTCTGCTTTTCTCAAAAACTTTCTGTTTTTCAAAAGTTTTGGCTGTAATTCATTTGACAGTTTCTAAGTGAGAGTCAGCCAGAAAAAGTGCAATGCCGAAAATTTTCAGCTGCTGAAAATGTTTTGGTTTTCAGTGATTTCCATTTTCTTACCAAATAAACAATACATTTTCTTTAAAAAATCAAAATTGTTTGTGGGGGGAAAAAACTCCAACATTTTCTAATCAGGTCAGTTACAGATGCACATGCAACGTCGTTGTCCTTTTGGGGGGAAATGCTGAAAAACACCATTACTATTTAAACACTGCGTGAACACAATTAGAGTTTTCACACCCACAGCACCCTTCTCAATCCAAGCAATTTTCCACTGGAACAGAGAGTGACACTCCTAAATGGTGGGCTGCCACGAGGGCAGAAGTCTGGACTTGATGTCCTCTCGAGGTCCCTTCCAGTTCTCGTGTTCTAGGATTCTCCTTCTCTGGAGTATTTCTCTGCCAAACTGTCCTTTTCCACATTCACATGATATCACCCCCCCATTCTGGTATTGGTGGTGTTCAAAAAGAATCATTATACACACATTTTTAAATAATCAGACAAATGTTTCTCTTTTCCTCCCCTTCTTCATTCTCAGCATTTGCTCATACATTCCAAGTCCTGGAAAATTTAAGCCCCAGAGATGAAAGTGTTGGGCCCAGAAAAACAAGGCCTGGTCAACATTATGCTAAGGAAAGTTAACAAAGGCTAATTTCATAGGCCTCTGAGTATTCTTGACCAGATCCAGGAAAGTGGTTCAGACAGAACCCTCCATGCTGGCTCAGGTTATAAAAGTAAGATAAGTGATAAATTACATATTTGTACCTACTGCGGCTTGCTTTGGGAACTGGTCAGAAACTCCCTGTTTTTGTTCCCCTTCGCTAATCTTACCTCCCTATTTTTTGCCCTTTGTTTGTACCCGATTCTTTTGTCTCCTTGTTCCTGGTACCTGCCTTTTGTGATTGATAAGAAAGTTGCTGATGCATTATGAAGCGTTTCTGGCCACAATGTATGGGTGGCTAAGATATGCATAGATATTAAAAGTTTCTAGAAAGGGGGGTAAGTGGCTTGGGTGAAGAGCTTATGACACGACGGAACTGCCTTTATAAGCCTACCTGTTACTAAAATCGGGGCTGCTTCTCTTTGGAGACGGGCCGCTCTCTATTGTTGTGTGCACTCTTCAATAAAGAGCTTGTGATTGGACTCTGCTGGTGTTGCCTGTCTCTCTGCGGTCAGACAACGAACCGAGCCGTCTGGGCTAGAGTCCCTGACAAAAGCAAGCTTGGAAAAAATTGGGGTTTCTAAATGCTCAGACAATGCTAACCACAGCTGCTGGTACCACTACACTTCTAATGCAGCTGCAGTGCTTATAGATTTGATTCACTGGATCTGCCACGATGTCATATTTTGTTTTGCTATCGACCTCCTCTGCGTGCAGCTTTGAGCGCAGGATGTGAAAGCAAAGTGCGGGCGCAGCAGCTTTCGAAAAGAGAAAAAGGTTGAGTTGAGTCACTGCTGTGAAGTGGCTGATAATAAAAAACATTTTACTGTCAAATTCAATTGGGTGCCACAGATGAATTCAATCTTCTGTCTAGAGCAGCCACCCTGCTGTGCATATGAAATTAAATGTTGATACGGATTTAAATCCAATCTCCCCAAATTCTCAACACAGGGACTAGATTTAAGAAACTAATGAGGGTTTGTTTTTACAGGTTTTAAATTATTTTACCCAAACTGTGAAGGAACCACTGGAAATAGGAAAAGGAGAATGCACTGAAACATACAGGTATTTATGATCTCAGATCATTGCAAACAGAAGGACCACCAGCAAAGACTTATTCATGGGTTTTAATTGTGTGGGCTGGCCAGAGGCACAATAACCAGTGGGCCAAATGCATGACGGAGGTAACTCAATGCTCATGAAATTACTCCAGGGATGTATACAGTTAATTATTATTTGTTCGTAGCACCACCAAGATCTGGCCCCATTCTGCGACGGCACATCAAAGAGGCAGTCTCTGGACCACAGAGTGCTTGCTTAGTAGCTTGAAAATAGCATCACTTTCTCTTTCGGATCTCCATTTGCCTCTGGCAAAGTATTTTCCCCTCCTATTTTTCATGGAGGGTCTTTGCCCCACTTGCTTATTGTCATCATCCTCAATGCAGTCAGCTCAGTGCTGAGAGCAGAGTTCGCAGGGCTGCCGGCACTCTGGATTTTACCACGAGCGTCCCAACATTTGGTGCTTTTCTGAAAGCCCCACCTCCTGGAGTCAAGGGATTATATAAGAACCTTAACTCTTACATTATTTTTTTCCCCTCATGGTTGCAGAGAAATCTTAAAGCCATGACGCAAGTGTAACCTCAGAAGGCAAAAGTTAGTTAAGTAAATGCCTCTTACTTTGTGACTGTGTCTACACTGGCACCTTTTTCCAGAAATGCTTAAAACGGAGCAGTTTTCCGTTATAAGTATTTCTGGAAAAAGAGCGTCTATATTGGCAGGATGCTTTTCCGGAAAAGCACTTTTTCCGGAAAAGTGTCCGTGGCCAATGTAGACGCGCTTTTCCGGAAAAAAGCCCCGATCGTCATTTTCGCGATCGGGGGTTTTTTCTGGAAAAGACTACTGTGCTGTCTACACTGGCCCTTTTCCAGAACAGTTTTCCGGAAAAAGGACTTTTGCCCGAGCGGGAGCAGCATAGTTTTTCCGGAAAAGCAGCTGATTTCTTACAGTAAATCGTCAGTGCTTTTCCAGAAATTCAAGGGGCCAGTGTAGACAGCTCGCAGCTTATTCCGGAAAAGCAGCTGCTTTTCCGGAATAAGTGGCCCAGTGTAGACACAGCCTGTGA